GAAAAACAGAGGAACAAGCGAGCAGGGGTGGTGTAAACAAACAAGCAGGTTTTAAATATTCACACCAGCTGCTCCTTTCACGCGAATGTTTTTCCATTTTCGAGAACACATTTTATATAATGTAAAACGAAAGAGACCAAACAGCTTCCTTCTTTTGCGCGCAGAATGAAATTCAATTATTCGGTTTGAAAAAAAAGAGTCCTCCTCCTCCCTCCCTCCACCCCTCCGCAAATACTCACGGATTACGATTAATTATCATTAATTAACCGGGCTATGGGTACCGTCCTTTGACGATTCGGGAGGTTAAATTAAATATAACTTCCTCCCTTGTCGTCGAAAATACCAGTCAGTTTTTTCACCGAATTACCGCCTGTGTCGAGCGCGAACGCACTTCGGAATTCGAAATACGTTACGAAACACAGCGGAAAAACAACAATTTGGAATCGGCTGGAGAATCGGCAACTGCCACCACAGGTAATTCAGAATTTCATTGGGAAGAGGCGAGAATATCGGGAGTGGAACAAATTTTAATTATTCTACTCGTCGATTATTTATTTTTTACCTGGTAGATCTTCGATCGATCCAGTTTTAATCAATTTTCTTTCTTTCCGAGTACAAACAAGTTTGTTGCACGAAAGTTTGGAAAATCATTGTTGGAAATGACGCATCAATTCGAATCGATTAATATATCTTTTTTTTTTTCGAAGAAGCAAAAGGAGTTATTAATTTGTTTAATTTAACTTAATGATCGTTTATCTCATTTCACCGGCAAATTAGACGCGTGAAATTTTTAAAACAACTTAAAAAACGGATACACAATTGATAATAAAATAATATTGTAAATTAAACGATGAATTAATTTCGAACGGTTTTACGGATCAATCGAAATTTCAATTCGAATTAACGAGTATAATCAATTCCATCTCGTTTTGCTCTCCAACCCAACGATCCTTCCAACTTTTTTAATTCATCGATTCAGCCGGTTTTCGATACACCAAAAACAAACAATTCTACGAAACGGCGACTTTTATTATTATTATTATTATTATTATTATTATTATTATTGAAAACGAGAGAAGAAAAGCACAAGGTGTAAACGTGATTTCGTTTCGATGCGCAACAGTTTGGCTCGATCGCAGTGTCGGGCAGACTGCAGAAAGCGGAGATCGGCCGATTGCCCGATTTGCCGCGTAAACAGATCGATTAAGCGTTTAAACGCGAACGCCTTCACGATTGATCGAAAATATATTTACGAAAACGGCGTTATTATATCCGAATTTGCAAATTTCGCAATCGTTGACAATTTTAAAATTATGGAGGGGTATAAATTGGTCGGCCTGCGCGGCGAAAATTACGAGAGATCGAAGGGTTTTTTCTCCTCGAATCGAGAATTGGCGATCGCACCGCAATCGTGGAGATATAAGGGATAAGAGAAATGGAGGGGATGGAATGGAATTTCATGTCGTAATCTCGTTGAACATCTGTGGAAAGTGTTGAAACATGTTTGAATGTTTTGAAATACAACATCGCGTGCATAGATAATTCGAAATATTGGAAAGCGTGCGTCGCGATAATTAAATAAGGAAGCAGATCAAACGAATCAAGTTAGAAAAGTTAGGAGAGAATTTTTCTTTTCGAAATTACAGAAGACAATATTGATCGTTCACGCATATCGTACAAATATTTAATATCGTAATTAAGACATTTTCAAATTTGCAGTTTATTTAACTTAATTTCGTTGTTTATTTTTCTATCATTAATTCCCGGTCGAATCTCGATGATAACAAAGTAATGTAAAATGTATTATTTTAACAAATTTTCTTCCGTTAAATAAATCGCCCTCCCTTTTTTGTTCCGCCTCCAACAGAAAATAGCAAACACGGAAGCCTAACGATCCCCCGCACAACCCGCTAAAACTCCATTGTCGGCGATAGCTCGTATTTCCAAGCAAAATGCAAAATTATCGTCCCTCCGAAGACTTTTCCACGGCTGGAGCTCTCCCTCTCCTTGCCCTCCACGGTTTAATGTGGACGGCAATTAAGACGTGAGGATAAGATTATCAGCGTTGCAACGGCGGAAGCGTTAAAAATTACAACGCGGGGGGAGGGAGGCGGGCGGCGTAATTAAAGGGAAACTGGGTCAACCGGGTGGATAAATCGGCTGGACGAAACAATTCTCGCCCGAAAACGAGGAGGGATGCGTGAAAATTTCGACTGTTTTCCTCGCTCGCTCGTAACATTTTCGCCAGAGAGATGGGAATTAAGATGATTCAATTTCGACGAAATTGTTGGTAATTCCTTTTCACTTGTTGTTGCTTGTTGCCGTTCTCCTCTTTTTGCTCGGGTGTTGTACAATGATCGGTGATGAGGGTTAGGTGAAAAATAATATTCCCGGACACTGGTAGTAGTAAATATTAATTATCGCGAGACAAGATGTATCATATGACATTAATATATTTTCATATTAACGAGAAAATTGCACTCTATTTTCCTTCGCGTTTCTTTCTGAAATATTAGGTCGTTACGTGTATTGTTCAATTTCGATGAAATAAGATGTATCGAATTAATTCGTTCAAACTTCGATATTAATTTTAAACACTCATCCTCTCTAATTTTATTTTTCTTTAGAACCGTTGACGAAAATAATTATATTTAAGAAGGCTTAATTGAGAACTCGATCGATTTCGTCTGCAACAAGGGAATATTTATCTTCGAATCTCGGGATGTTTGGCCTCCTCCTCGTCAATGCGAGTCACAAAGCTTATATAATCAAAGTCAACACTGACTATGCGAACGTTCATTTTCGAATCGAGAAAATCGCATTGATCCTGAGGAGATCTTCATCATTCAGGTTTCTTTGCTCTCGCCTGCTCAAAAGCCAGCAAAATACCCGTTATTTTATTTTCTCGATTCGAGAACGAACGATTCGGGACAAACAAGAGACAAAAAATTGATCCATCACCGTCCCGAAACGAATTCAGAATTTAAAATAATATAGCATACATCGATCACCACATTCATCGTCCTTTTAACGCTTCAAACACGAGCGCAAAATTGGTCGGGGAGTCGTGAATCAAACCCTAATATCGTACCCATCACTACGGTGGAAAGAGGCGAGATTGGACTGTCTACTTCCCGATGAGGAGTAGAACTCTCCTCGACGATTCCACTCGCTCGCAAAGACCCAACATCCAATACCGAGAAACACGAGAAGAAGAGGGAAAATTCGAGTTCGAGAAGGACGGCGAAAGCCAGGGATGAATAAGTTTCGGTTTGTGAAACGGTAGTCGATCCACTCTCCCTCCTCCCCTTCCCCTGTCTCTTTTTTCCTCGCCGGCCACCGACTCTACTAGGCTAGCTCTCTCTCTCTCTCTCTCGTCGCGTACGTAGACACGGCAACCGTAAATCAACTCTCGAAATTGTTTTCGAGTGGCGTGCGCCACGTCCGCTTCGGTAAACCGGGATGTCTAGAAATTCGAGTAACGGCGTGGACGAACGATAACACACGGATAACTTTTCATCGAGCGAGGGAGGAAGCGATGGGGAGTGGAGTGGGGGGATTCCCCCTCTACGAGCGAGATACGATCCCGCTTGTTTGAATAGATTTCACGCGGATAAAAGAAGTTTGCGGCTGGGATACGGATTTTCTTCCGCAAATCGGGTATAAAATGCTGAACCCGTAGAATTTTCGCGCAACGAAATTGTCGAAGTTGTCGGATCGAGATGTGATTCGTTTTCTTCTCTCTCTCTCTCTCTCTCTCTCTTGTTGTTATCAGAATGACGGTATTATTGTTATTATTATTATTATTATTATTATTATTATTATTACATTATTATTACGTTTATGCAAAAGATGTTCTTTGGGGAAAGGGAAAAATTTAAATTAAAATAATCAAGGGAAAAAAATGGGTAAAAATGAAAATTTATCTCGATCGATATTTGATTTGAAGGTATTGGACGACGACGGGGAACGGTCAAATGGTGACCGAGGTTCCACGGGACAACAAGGCGGCGATCATGGACAGCATCGCCTCGTCGTACGCGTTGCAGAGGCCGAGGTTCGCCGCGACTACTCCCCCGAAGCTCGCGAAACTCGACGGCAAAAGCGGAGGCTGGCCTTATTACCAGAAGTACAAGCAGCAGGCGGAGGCGCAAAAGGCGCAAATCTTCGAGGACATCCAAAGGAAAATGGCGAACGCGACGAGCGGGAACAGCATAGGGATCCATTCGTGGAATTCGAGCGACACGGCGGGCCAACGGCAACACAGGCTCAGGATGAAACATCATCGGCTGACGTCCAAGGGGAAACGGTTGAGGACGCGTAAGTGGGGGGAGGGAAGCTTTGTGTACATCTCGGTCTCGGGGTAGTTTTTATCGCCCATTCTTCGTCGATCGTTGAAAAGCGCGATGACATTGTTCGCGCGGACAATGAAGGGCCAAACAGTTGATGCGATCTTCTCATTCATGGAAATTAATGGTGAAACAGAACGGCACGGAGATATTTTCCACGCAAATGATCAAAGGAATGTCCTCTTCTTGCCTCTTCCTCCATTCAGAGGAACCAAGCTTTTGTTAGCTCGGGACCATGTCGATTATCCTTTTTATCCCTCCTTTCGTTTTATTCCCTTCCCGTTGGATAAACATTGTACGTCGCTCAATTTCGTTTCTTTTTTTTTTTCTTTTCTTTTTTTTCTTCTGTCTTTAAGCTTGTTGCGATCATTCGGCTGTTTCAAAAATTGGCGTCGTTCGTTGCGTTTTCTACTTGACAAGTTTCGTAAAGTTTATCGTCGAAAGAAATCAATTTTTCCGTAAGTAGTTTCGTAAGTTAATAAATTCAATTCACTTTTGAGAATAATAAATAAAAGATAAGTTTCAATGAGATATTAATGTATAAAATATCAAAATCATTCCGAATCAAAATTTCATAATTCGAATGTGCAATCCATTAAATTCCCCAAAAAAATAAAACTTTGTCCAAGATCGACTCTACTTTGAAAAAATAAATTAAAGTAAAATAGCAAATAAAGTAGTTATTCGATCCAAGACGGGATCCAAAAATGTAATCGCGATCATCGATTTTCAATCTTCTCCGTGAGAATCAATTATCAAAATTTCATAAAAAAAAAAAAACGTAATTCGAATGCGCAAGTTTGGAGAAAAAGTAAAACGTTTCGACGGGGAAATCGATAACCGTGCCATGTTCCATGATTCCAGGCCCGCCGAGGGACTGCAAGGTGGGAGAGTGGGGCCCGTGGAGCGCGTGCAGTCGTAGCTGCGGGGTAGGTGAGACGCAGAGGACGCGGAAGATCACGATAAAACCGCGGCGCGGCGGATCATCGTGTCCACCGCTGAAGGAGACCAAGTGGTGCGGCAGCGCGAGCCCCTGCACCGACGGCAAATCCATCCTGGACAGCTATCAATGGTAGTCGTGGTGAAACGATCCCGCCAACGACGTACGCGTCGACTCGAGATGATTTACCCCGAACGATCTGGAAGAAGTGGGAGGATTGAGAGGGGGGCCCAGCATGGGGCTCGGCCTGGGGGATATACCTAGGCGAACACGGGCGGATCGTTGCCCGCTGGATTGCGTCGATAAAACGTCTATCGTAGTCGTAGCGCCAAAGATTTCGCGGGGGTGGGGACGCGTCGATATTAACGAATCGACGATCGATCGAGAATTGGATTTTTCATCATTCGTTCGACAGTTTCGTTATACGTATCGTGAAATTGATTGTTATTTATCTCTTCTTAAGGCTGGAGACCATTTTTCTGCGATGAATCGCGATCTTTTTTTCTTTTCTTTTTTTAAGTAAGTTGAATAAGTTGAAGGATTTTTCAAGGAAGAGATATTGCGCTGAAGATTGGCCTACAAGTCGAGTAATTTCGTACGACCTCGTTCGTGATCGTTGATCGAATTGAGAGCGATTTAGGAAAGTATTTGAACATTTTTTGTAAAGGAAAATCGGAGGACTCCTTATCTAACGCGTTAGATTGCGAATTTTTATGCAAATACATATTTTTCATAATACTCTTCGTGTTAAAATTTTTACACGATTATAATATTAAAATTATCCACGTTTTGCAAAATACTACGTAATTTTACCTATTAGTTGAATATTCGAACTCGTTCTGAACTCGCACAAAAATTCGCAGTCTACTAATGATCTAAATATCTAAAAAATTCCCCTATAAATTAATAACACCCTAGAATTGCATCAGTAGAAAAACGATTCTCCTCTAACCACCGTTCAAACGCTTTCCCTGTACATATTTTCCGCGTAAAACGTTCTTTCGGCGAGAGGAAGGCACGAGTCGAGTGTAAAAACGACGACACGACGAACGAGGGATCGTTGGGGATCGTAGAATGCCGCTTTTCAACGCTCCTCGATCGATCGCCAATCGACATCGCGATTCTCCTTGCGCGATATTTCTTGTTACCGACCGAGCAAACTCTCGTATCGTCCGCCGATCGAGCTTCCACTTCTTTCTTCCATCTCGAGTTGTACTTACGGACAAGTCCGCCGGTGTTGTGTTGGCGCACCATCTCAATTTGGACACCGTGAAAAAGTGGAGACGAAGAGGAGGAAGGAACAAAGTTCCCCCCTCCTTCTTGGACGGTTTATTCATTGTGCTCGAACGATCGGAAAGACGAGAAACTTTGTCGCAGAGAACGCGAGAATTCGAGCCGGTTCACGGATTATCAAGCTAGGAATAAAACGAATTTCGAAGCGATCCGCTCGAAGACTCGAGATACGAGTGTCCACGAGGGAGAAAAAAAGGAGGGGAAAAGGAAGGGGAAATTAAGGAGGAGGGAAGAGAGGAAGGAAGTGGAAGAGAGTTTTGCCGAAGGTTCGAAAAATTGCCGACAATTCCCCGGGGCCGTGGCGTTGAACGCAATTAGCCGACGACCGATCGGTTGCACGAATAGCGAGAAACGCCTCTCGTCTCGACTCGAGTGTGTGCGCATGCATGGACGAGTTTACGCGTGTGTGCGTGTCGTGTACGTGTGTATATGTGTATACGTGTGACGAATGAAGAAGAGAGAGTGGATGAGAAAGTTTGGTCCGTGGAAAATCCAACGGGTGGTTCGCGTGTCGATCGACGGTCTTAAGGAGGCTTAAGTCCCCGTTTCCCTGGATATCTTTTCATCCGCAACTAGCTTTGCATTTCTTCGGTAACTCGTGTCCCGGGACGCGCGTGTTTTCGACCTGAGAAACTTTATTGATTCTTACGCCAGTGTCTGTAAGTTCGGGTCGGGGGATTTGGAGAATTACGGAGGTGCGTTTTTTCTTTTTTTTTTTTTTTAAGTAGAGAGAAAGAGAGGAAGAGGAGAAAAAGAAGTTTTGCAAAAAAACGTGAGCGGTTAGAATCGCCGAATTTATAGACACAAGTGTACGCTGCTTCTACGGTTCTATTAACCTTTTTAACCGAGTGCACTCCTCGTTCGAGTGGTGTTCGCGTTTTTATTCGAGGAATTTATCGATCGGGCGGCCTCCTTTCCCACGTTTCCACGTGGGATAGAAATTCCGTGAAAATTTGAAGATAACTTCGAAGAATTGTTAGTTATTTGAGAGTTATTTTTCGCCGGTGGACACTGCGTTGAGAACGAGAGGTTACTCCGAAAGAAATATCATCATTTGCGAAAATTTTCGTCTCTCGAGAACGATTATTGAAAATTTTATTCACGAATAATATATATTCGTCGTATTATTTAATTTAACTCGATTTCTTCATAGTTGTTCATTGTTGTAGTGTAATGTAGTCACACGGTTAAAGGGTTAAAAAAAAGTGTTTCCTCCCGAGAAATCGATATCGACGCAAGAAAGAGATGCTCGTCCCACCCCTGTCGAATCTACGTGAGATTCACAAAGAGGGGAAGAACAAAGAGAAAATGATTTCGATTTTCCCGCGAAAATGATCTTTCCCTTCGCTCGTCAAGTGCTAACTCGTTCTCGTGTGGCGTAAATAAGCGAAATTTTTACAAAGGCTAAAAGAAAGAGAGAGAGAGAGAGAGAGAGAGAAGAGAGAAAAGAAAAGAAAAAAAAGAAAAAAGATATCATCAGGTACGTCTTAGGTGAGTGTATTATATATTTAGGCGTAAATTTAACGATAATAATTAACAACTAACGTTTAATCGTAATTCGTTAATTAATAGGCTCTTGGTTATTAATGGCGCCCGTGAAGGGGTGCACGCAACGGCTTGTCCTCCTCGCGTATATTGTAACGTAATGTTTAACGTAACGAGCAACGCTGCAATTAAGCGGCGAATTGTCCGTCGAGGGACATGCTTGTCGTGCGTGGTCAAGTGTCGTTTCGAGTAATTAAGAACGATTGAAGGAGGGAGGGGTGGGGAAAAATGGTTCGTTTCGACCGCACGAGAGGGTGCGCTCGTTCGTAATTTTTTTGATCGACGCATTTGTTCGAGCAACGCGGATTCTCAAATTCTTAGGAGAAATCGTTTCGATTAATTGATTCGAATTGAAAAAAAAAAAAAGAAGAAGACGAAGAAGAAGAAGAAAAATGGCGGGAAGAGAATCAATCAATATAGAGAGAGTAACAAAAAAAAAAAAGAAAAGAAAAGAAACAGTGTCGAGATTTTGTAGCAAAATTCGACTACGGACGGTGTTACGATTCGCGAAATAAACAGAGGGGAAACATTTTCGCGAGCTTAATCCACGGAACGAGAAAGTTGTTCGGTGGATCGTGAAATTTCTCACGGTACAATGCGTGCCGATAGAAACACCGTTGAAAAAGAGAGAGAGAGGGCCTTTTCATTTCACAAACCTGTTAAAGAAGAAGAAGAAGAAGAAGAAGAAGAAGAAGAAGAAGAAGAAGAAGAAGAAGAAGGACCAAGCCGTCGCAGTTTTAGCAGCATTAAGGATGAACGTTTTATAAACTAAACGCTCGAGGGGACGCTTTCTTAACGAAAGTTTTCAACGACAAGGGGAGAGAGAAGGAGCAGTTGTACTTTGCCTAAGAAATAAAAGCGCGAGATAACAAGGAGAGAGAGGAGGATGTTACCAAAGAGACGCCCGTATAAATGTGTATCTTATCCTTTCCCACTGTATTTCCTTCCTTCCTTCCTTCCTTCCACCCCTTTTACGTTTCCCTTGAAAAACTTTTCCCCTTGAATCTTTCGATTCGAAGCTATACTTAATTACGACGTACTTCGTGTTCTATTTCTCTTCCTCCTCTCGTGCCCACGCATACGCTTCTTCCTCTCTTTCTCTCTTCTCCCTGAACGGTTCACGGAAGACAATGACAAATCAATGAGGGAGCGACTAAGGTAAGGTAAAGGAGGATGATTCTGTACAAGTCACTGTGCATTCTAGCCTCTAAGGATCTAGCCGATAGGATTAGCCGTTAAGCAAGGGGAAAAAAAAACATGTAGCAATGTATAACACATAAGTTTATATTACATAATAAAAATCTGTCGATAAAATCCGTTCGAACGATATTTTTCACTTGTGACGTATGATGAATGGTATTCGTATTCGTAATAAAGTAGCTACTATTTCAGGAATGTACGTGTACAATTTTCCTATCCTCCCCCATATATGCTTTTACAAACGAGTAGAAGAAGAAAAATTTCTGTCTTCTCCAGATTTAACAACAGATTTTACAACAACCCCGACAAGTCAGTCCAACATTCCACAGTGAAAGAAATTTTACAGAATTTTCTTCGACCTATTCGATCGAAAATCAATCCATTTATTTCGAACTTATACTCTCACTTTCCTCTAATCTCCCTTTCAAAATGAAATCCACTCCTTATTTATTCTACTATCCTAGAAAAATAATGCAATGATCCACATTCGGAGAAACAGCCATCGACTCCTAGAAAAATTAGCAAATAAAGCGAAACCTCATATATCTCTTTCTCTCTCTCTCTTTCTCTCTCTTACTCTCTCTGTTAACGATCCGATCCCTCTTCGCAACCCAACCGACAATATTAATAATCGTCCCGACGGAGCAATTCCGCAGTCGGGAGGGAGAGCTGGCAGCGTTGGTTGTTATCACGCAACATTACCCGAAAATAAAGGACGCGGTGCGGTTTGCCTCGAGAAGAGAAGAGAGAGAGAGAGAGAGAGACAGGTAGCAGGAATACAATACTTGGAAGGCGTTGTTGGAACCCCTCGATCGGGTGAAGAGGGTGGCAACCCAGCAGCAACCCCTCGACTTTCGAGGACGAGGCGAGTGCAATGATGCTGCACCAACCCTCTTTTTTTTTTTTTTTTTTTTACCAAACCTTTGCCGAACCTATCTTTATCTCCCCGGCGCGCCGAGTTGATCGCATTAATGTCGCTCGTTTCTTTATTTCCGCGGAGATCTTTTCGCTGCTTACTCACCTTGGTCGAGTTATATTTACTTGCTTGCCAAGGAAGAAGAAATTTCCATTCAAATCTCGAATTAAGGAAGAATTAATTAATTATACCTACGTGTAGAATTTTAAATTCTAATTCTATTTCTATTAATAAGAGCTTCTTCGAAATCGAATATGAAATTCTATTTATTCTCGAAGCGGATTTGTCGATTAATCTTGGATCTATTATCTTATCGTAGATAAACGTGTGATTATTGTTTTAAACGAACGAGTGTTGAAAAAATTCTCGAAAAATTGTTACACGCGAGAAGATCCGTGGAATGGATTGAAACGGGGATATAAATCGGGTCGATGGATTTCGCTCGCCAAAATCCACAATCTATTGTTCCCAAGT